ATCACTTCATGTGTGATCTTTTTTTCTTCTTTTTTCTTTTCTTTTTTTTTGCATGAGCGGCTATTAAGGACTGGGAGATAATTTGAAATCTTGTTGTCAGGCACCTTCTTCCAAGGATTTCTCAGCAGAAGATACATGTAAGGATAAAGGTTTTACCAAACCTGACTCTGCTTGCCTCTGTATCTTAGCCAACAGAGCCAGTGTTGTCCGAAGATGCTTCTGTGGTCATGTGACCAGCATGACTATATGCCGAGGCACACAGAATGCTATCATGTTCCCATGTCCCAAAGGTGCTTTTTCAAAGTGGTACCTATTTATCTACTCGCATTTGTATGCTTTCGAACTGCAAACTAGGGCAAGTAACAGGAGCTCACCCCGTCACACAGCACTCGGGTCTCAAACCTGGGCTATCAGCTTTCCAGATGACAAGCTCAGAGGTCTTTAACTGCTGAGCCATCTTGCCCCCTTAGGAGATAAATATAATGGTTGTCACTAGGCAAGTTGCCACCAGAACTTCACTCATTCTACTCTGCCTAGCTGTGTATATCTAGTTGGAGAGATCTTTCTTCAAGGACTTCTGCCTCCAGCCTTAAATGGGATCTACTTTGGATCTTCTGTCCAATGGCAACATTACAGAAGCTAACAAATTTTCTTCCAATCTAGAAATATATATATGTACAGCCATATTATAGGAGAATGTAGAGCACAGGTGTCAAACTTGCCACATCACATGATGTATTGTGACATATTGTGACTTTTTTTGCATTGCTGGCGCTGGCGCAGCCTCCATATGATGCAACCGGTCCACAGGGCAGCAGTTTGACACCCCCAATATGGAAGATAACTGAAAGCTAGCTACTTTGGGGACTGATCATCTCCCTGTAATTTTTTGTTTATTTATTAATTATTTTTATGTCACTCATCTTCCCTATAAGGAGAGGCTTACAAGTTATAAAATAAGTAAAAATAATTAAAATATTAAAATAAATTATATATTCAGATTATGATTACAAAACTCTATTAAAACCAGAACCAAGAGATGGACAGAATGGGAAGGAGGTCTTCTCATCCCATCAGCTACCTCTAGCATTGAGCGCCCCCCTCAGGACCCCAGGACACTAGCAAAGCCAAGTTTTGATACCCTTCCAAAAGGCCAAAAGAGTGGAAGCAGTTCTTACCTCTGATGGTAGTGCGTTCCACAGCAGAAAAGGATCTTCTCCTTTTCCACTGGAATTTCTTAGCATACAAAATCCAAAGCAGGCATCTTCCACTGGCACAAGTGGAGTGGGCTAGTCCCATTGGAGAAAGATGGTTCCTCAGACATAATCGTTGGCTGATCAATAAAGTTATGAATATGTTCCATCAAGTCAATGTTGACTTTTAGTGACCACATAGAAAGATTTTCTCAGAAACAATCTGACTGCAACCTGATTCTTCAGGAATTTTAGCAGTGCATCCATCACCACTCTAATTGAATCCTTCTACTTTGATGCTATTCATCGTCTTTCCTTCCACTTTTCCCTGCATTAGAGCCTTCTCCAGGGAGATAGATCTTTGCATAATGTGTCCAAAGTAGGATAATTTGAGCTTGCTCAGTTGTGCCTTGAGTGAGAACTCTGGGTTGATTAGTTTGAATTATCTGGAGATTCTTAGTCATCCAAGGTTGTCAAGGTTGTCCCAAAGGTGCTTTTTCAAGAGGCAACTGGACTTTCTGGTTTTTCTTTGAAGATAGTTCACTTCTCATCCAAGAAGCTTCTTCAGCTCTGATGGGATGGTGGAGCATGGAAGGATTTATGTTCCTTGCAAACAGCTGGTCATTTGCATTCTTTTCGAGAGTCATTGAGGCAATGGCACGCGTGCCCACAGAGAGGGTTCTGAGTGCACCCTCTGGCATGCATGCCATAGGTTCGCCACCACTGCTATAAGGTTTCTTTAAGTACAGTATGAACAAATTTTAAGTTGAGAATTATTTCTTTTTTTTTCCTGTTAAAAAATAATGTTATAGATTTGGGTTTCTAAGTCACTGTTTAGTTACTTTTGATAATTTCACTTCAGAACTTATTCCACTCTGTGTAAATTCCTCCACACATAGACAGAGAAACATGAGGTAGAATATCACACATTTAAACTAATGTTTTTTAGGCCTAATGTTTCCTAGAGGTTGTTCCTTCAATATGCTGTGTGAAAGTGCATCATTAAAAATACATGCAATATCCAAGCTACATAATTTAGCCAATTAGCAGTTTTGCCTCCTGGTTTAATAATAGGTCTTCATTTTGTGTTAAAATTAGATTAGAGATCAAATTGATTCAGGGCCATCTGCAACAAGGCAAAACTTCATCAGAACGATGAAATGTGTTGTGATATCACAGCACAAGCTCTGTCCCTTGTTTCTTGTGTGTGACAAGTCTCAAATATAAGATGGGTACAGTTTGCATTACCATAGTCCAATGCATAGTTGGTCATGTGTTCCATGTGAGGTGATTATATCCTTGAAATTTTCCTTTTCTAATAATTTTATGGCAATAAAGAATGAGTTATTTACTCATATTTAGATCCATTGAAACCAGGACTCATCGGGTATTGGGGAACTGAAGACCCAGATTCAGTTGTCAGCAATCTGAAGACCCACATTCAGATTTCTTTTTCCAATCCTATTAACTCATTGGGTGACTGACTGTAAGCCCAAATAATTTCATAAACTGGCTATTGTGAGGATAAACTTTGACTTCATTATCTGGAGAAAAGCCAAGAGAGGAGATGCAATAAAATTACCTAATACTCACACTTCTTGGAAACGTCAAAAATTGCAACCTTATAGCACTGAAAGGCAGCTAGCTGGCAAAATCTGAGGTCATATTATCAAAGTTTATTTTTGTCTTATAAATAAACCACTCTACAAAGGCTATGTTATATAGCAGAATAATTAGTACTGACAAACATTGAAGTTGGAAGTTTGGTACTGCAGGGAACAGAGAAAACTCAACCATTTGTCAAGCATTTCATTGGAACATCATGAAGACAATGTCATATTCCTAGTATTTTGTTTGGGATCGGTATACTAAAGTACTGAATTTTAAAGCATCATTTACCTTAGTGCCTCTTTGTGGCACTGTCCTATAGTTTTGATTTTAAAAAGAAAAGGCCACTAGGTTCCAGCAACATGCTAGATTGAGCTAAAATCATTATTATTTTATGGGTAATCTACAATTAGATTCGCAGTCAAGCACAGACTGGTGAAATCTTAATACAGGTGATTCAAGTCTTAACCAAGGATCTAAGAATTATTAAGGTAGCGTCTGAGGATATAGGCAGTTCCAAGCAGCATGTGCCCCTTTGCAAAGCAAAGGTTCTTGTTTTTGATGTGGCTTCTTTGGTTAAGCAGAACTGTTTTGCATAACAAAGGGACACTCCTTCGTTTTTGGAAAAGTAAGTTCCTTAGTTTTGTACATCCAGTAGTAGTTATAATAGGTTTGATCATGCACTGGACATATAATAATAATAATAAAGTTGGAAGGGATCTTAGAGGTCATTTAGTCCAACAGGACAGGAAACCCTATACCAGGGCTCGGCAACCTTAAACACTCAAAGAGCCACTTGGACTCATTTCCCAGAGAAAAGAAAACACTGGGAGCCGCAAAACTTGCACACGCATTCGCGTGTGCACGCACAAGGGGGGGAGCTTGATTGAAAAGTTTAATTAAAAAGAAATAGAGGCTGCTGTGCATGAGTTCTCTCTCTCCCTCTCTCCCCCTCTCTCTCCCTTTCTTTGTCTCCCTCCATGTCTCTCTCTCTCCCCGCCCCCTCTCTCCGATCTTCTGCTTCACACTGTTCTCCGACAAGCTGACACACATTCTTATTGGGCTGGGTCTCTCCTGCCCTTGGTCTGCCAGTCCTCTTCCCCCACTCAGTGTGTGTGTGTGTGTGAGAGAGAGAGAGAGGGAGAGAGAGAGAGAGAGGAGGAAAGCACAAGTGCCTCTCTCTGTCTCTATCTCTCTGCAAATGGTGGATGAGGCTGGGAGTCGCAGGAGAAGGCTCAAAGAGCCACATGCGGCTCCGGAGCCGTGGGTTGCCGACCTGTGCTCTAAGGCTATCTGACACCTCCTCAGACATCCATCCCCAAATTCACACATTTTAACATAGAAACGTTTATAGAAATTACTTACGTCACCTGACCTACAATATTTCAGCAATCCCACTTTTCAGACTTTGTGTACAAGGGAAAGCATATTTCCATTGTATTGTTTTTTTTTCTTTTTTTAATTATGTATTTCATGTAAAACTTAAAGATCCTGCTCAAAAGTACGTCTGGTTGATTTTCTTATGGCTGACTCCCAGCTACCTCTGTTGGAGAATCACTAAAAAAATATTGTAGAAATCAAATGATAGAAAACCCCTTTTCACCAAAACTTTTTTTGGGGGGGGTTGGAGAGGCAATGAATGTTCCATGACTGTTTGGTTAAAATACTTTTTCTCCCAGTCCTAGTAAAAACCTAACGACACCTCTAAGCACAGCAGTCTTGCCAAAGAATCTCAGTGAATTTCATATAATAAAAACAAAATATATAAGAGTCATAAGAAAGGCTCTTTGCAGCAAATTCTCTTAATTAATTATGTGTTATGTAGAAAACTACTTTGTTTTCTAGAACGTGCACCTGCTGCCATTAATTGGAGGCATGAATCACTCCAAAATTTCAATTGCTATTCTCAGATCTCAGAGAATACTGCTGTTCTATGCAGAGACCGGGGGAAAGTTTGAATCTGATTCTGGTTCTGTGTTGTGGCACCCTATTTTTCCAGGCCTTTCCCATCCAATTCATATTCTGTGAGGATTTTTCGGTCTTTTACAGTAGAAATAACAGGAATTGTGGATTGTCCTTATGGGGAAAGAATTGAAAGTTGTGGTGTTATGATTACAGCCATCCAGTGGGTTAATGATGATGATGATGATTGATTGACAGGTTAACAAGCACTAATATGAGTATCATGACTGTTTTCAGGCAGTAGGTGAGACCTTGAAGAAAAAGTGGCTGTGGCTTCAAAAATGCAAGCTGATCTTTGCCTTGGTGGGTTTTGTCCTCCTGTGCCAGACATTTAAAAAGCATCGCATGTTTTCTAACGCATCTTTTCCGACTGACGAAACTTGCTTTATTCCAACCTTCAGCACGAAAGGAGTTCGCACTTTTTGCCAAAACTGCATGTTATTTATCGCTAGTGCAACAACAGCCCCATATATCGCATCAAGGGATACAGCCACAGAGTGAATCATACATAAAACTGTGCACATTTGGCCAGATATTTTTTGTTACGCTTAGCAAACAGAATGTGCTTTTCATCGGATAAAATACCATATCCTGATTATAATTCACCTACTGTGCATTTTGCAGTTTGGGTATAACAAAAAGGTACAAAGGAAGAAGCATGCTTAGATTGGATGTATTTTATAGGAGCATGCGTTGGACATGACTGCAGATTCTTGTATCTTGTATTTTATTTCAGAATGTTAAGTTGGATGCCAGTGTTCTTAAGAAACCATGGTTCCTTGACTTCCACTTTATAAACAACAAATAAAATGTGTTATTTTATAATATCAAGCAGATTCAGCTTGACTTGGATGGAATGAAACAATATTGCCTTAAAATATATAGATATATATAATATTGTCCAATATATAGATGTCACTAATAAAGATACAGGCGCCATATTTTTTATTTCCAGTGAAGTTCTACATCATAATTCCTACTTAGAAAAATAAGCAGATGAAATAATGGGAATAATCAGAACCTAAAATGTATATAAAAGTATACCGTGTGCCAGAATACTTCCATTCCTTGTACAGTACAGTATAGGTCACATTAAATGAATTTGTGTGTTGCCTTTATGGAAAAGCGTTATTTTTAACCTGTTCTCTCCATCCAAATTTGTTTTGTTTGTTTTGTAATCTTAGTTCTAGACTGCTATGGCCCGTCCCCATCCCACGTTTGTCCAGCCAAGTTTCTTGCACAATAAGGGGGCCAGTCACCAGCAAGATTCCCAAACTCATAATCCCGTGAAGACTTTTGTGGATATTTACCTTTCTTTTCAGCCACTGAGATGTTGAAAAGAGGAGAAAAAAAAACTACTGGAGTCCATGTCTGATACATCATTTAACTTTCCACCCTCAGAGCTGATCCAGAGTAGAAAGCTGTTCCTTTCTGCATACCCTTTGCTAACGTTCTTGCTGAACAGGAAAGTGTCTATGTCTAAATTCCTGAAAATTACTATAGATCTAATAATTTCAGTACAGCAGACCTTATTTGAAGATGCCTAAAAATTTACTCAAGGAAAAATGCTTCTGTGAAGTTCTAGCAAATACAAGCCTTGTACCATCAGTCTTACTGGCCAGCATTCATGCTATGGTTAAGTAGCTACTTTTACACTGCTGAAATAGTTCTAGAACTGGACTTTCAAGGATTATACATGTACATATATATTTGTATGTACACACACACACACACACACACCTATATATGTAGGTCTTTGGTTATTCGAGTTTTCTCCCACGTAAAATTGGAAGTGTCTTGGCGACGTTTCGACGAAGTCCCATTCGTCATCTTCAGGCTGATGTTTTCAGCTTCGTGCTCCTCGAAGCACGAAGCTGAAAACACCAGCCTGAAGATGACGAATGGGACTTCGTCAAAACGTCGCCAAGACACTTCCAATTTTACGTGGGAGGAAACCCGATAACCAAAGACCTACATAGAAACACCCGCGAAAACCTCAGAAAACAAATATATATAATATATATATATATTATATATATATATATATATATATATATATATATACATATATATATATATATATATATATAAATAATATATATAATAGACATATATATATATATACATATATATATATATATATATATATATATATATATATATATATATATATTTGACTACCTATATCTGAGCTTGGCTGTTTTCTTGCAGATGCTTCAATATCCAAACTAGGTAACGTCATCACTACTGATGATGTTACCTAGTTTGGATAAGGAAACATCTGCAAGAAAACAGCCAAGCTCAGAGAGCACCAAGGACCCCTTATTTCAACCCTGAGCTTCAAATATTCTCCTTTATTGATAGCTGACTTCAAAGAACCCATTAGAGCCCTATCAGGAGGATAGGAAGGTAGTTATAATTCAGGTCACTGAGCTAGATGTTACTGTCTCCATGCAAAGGATAACTCAAGAATAGTAGTCAATGCTTAGCATAGCTAAGCTATTAATCTTTTGCTCCTGTGGACTTCAGGTAGTCTTCAACTTACAACCATTCATTTAGTGACAGTTCAAAGTTATCCCAGCACTGAAAAAAGTAGCATGCAACTCGTCCTCGCTCTTATAACCATCACAGCATCTTCACGATCACATGATGTATTCATGGCAACAGTGGTTATAAGTTGAGGACTCCTTGTAGGCAGATTTGACCTGACATTAGGATGATCATAATTGCATTTATCATAAATCAGGAGAACATCTGATCAACATTGTCAGATCATTGGGGAGGACTTCATCACGTATGCTCAGGACAATTATATATTCAAAGAAACCTAAGAGACATAAGCAGCTTTACAATTAACATCAGAAGGAACTTAAAAGCTATAATAGCATTTGATTGACACATGACTTTTCTGTTGTAGCAAGAAAGACAAAACTGAAATTTTTGCAATATTGAATTAAAATGGTTCATAGTAGGGCCATTAGCTAAAACATGAAAGATAATTGTTTAAAAATGAAGGTTTTTTTATTATAAATCATGCTGTGAATCTGAATGTGGCAGGTTGCCATTACCATTAGATAAATTAAAACCAGTGAAGGTTTTAAGAAAGATTTTACTGTCATCAGTATGGTTTTTCCCAGAGAAGTTCCTTGGTTCCTGCTATCTTTACTTTTTAAAAAATGAATTTTAGAATTGCTTTGTCTCCTAAAGCAACACATATTGTATCTATGTTTTGTTACTGTGTTTTAAGAGGGGAATCATTGCATTCTCTAGAGGAGGAGTCCCCAAACCCTGGGCCACAACCCACTACCGGCCCACAGCTTATTCGCAACCGGTCTATGTGAGTGGCGGGTCGGAGCGCATGCCAGCATGCACGGCTCAACTTGCTCACTTGAGTGGCCCGGTTCCCCTCCCTTCCCCTCCGCTGGACCCCCAAGCTGCAAAAGTTGGGGACCTCTGCTTTAGAGAGAATTACATTAATTTCTCTTTCTCTCTCTTTCTCTCTCTCTATTTTTTTTTTTAAATATTGGTATGCCGTTGTTGATGTCCTAGTAATCATCATACTTCTTCTTTTTTTTTTTTTTTACAATTCAATTTCAGAAGAAAATACTGCCACATGCCAATGGGTAGTTTCTGCCCCAGTAGGAAATTAAGATATTTTTTTAGCTAACTGTGCCATGCAGTTGATGGTTAAAATTATCTCAAGATAATTGGCCAACTGAAGCTTCCATTACTTGGTGGGTAATGGGAAATGAGCTGCGTTATATACCTAACTCAGACAATGGGAGAAGAGAGTAACCTGATAAATTTATATGACTATGTTAACGATGCATTGCTGCAGATTCTCTGAAGTCTTTCCAGGACTAACAACAATGAAAATGCATGATGGTATTTGCAAATAAGAATGGGGAAAAAATGTTCATACTGATTTAAATTTTTGTTCAATTAATACCACACATGGTGTCCAATCCTACAATTTTAACTTTGATCTGGTATCTTGTTAACCTAGCAAAACCTCCTCATTAAACACAATGTTTTGATGTATTCATATACAAGTAGTCCTCAGCTAACAACAATTCATTTAATGACCGTTCAAAGTTACAACGGCACTGGAAAAAAGTGTCTTATGACCATTTTTCACACTTATGTCTGTTGCAGCATCCCTTTGGTCACTTGATCAAAATTCAGACAACTTAGCAACAGACTCATATTTATGATGGTTGCAGTGTTCCAGAGTCATATGGCCACCTTTTGCCTGATTCACTTAACAACCATCTTACTAACTTAACAACTTAACAACTGTGGAAAGAAAAGTGGTAAAATGGGGCAAAACTCACTTAACAAATGTCTCACTTGGCAACAGAAATTTTGGGCTCAGTTGTGGTCAAATTGAGGACTACCTGTATGTTATTTTCTGTGACTCACTGCAACCCAGAGAGATAGGCCTTCTTGTGTCCACAACAATCTTAGATAGATCTAAAATTATCTTTTTATGGAGAAATCCCAAGCATAAATCTCCCTAGGAGTTCAAATGAGATTCCAGTAGAAGGCTGGTTTATAATTTAACCCACAGCAGTAAGTGGTCCAAATATTAATTCTGAATACTGTACAAATGGAGTTATTAAATTTCAGCTCACTGGGAAACAAAATATTGGAGCATTTTGCCATTTGAGGGGGGGTGGAGAGCTTCTTATAGTCTTTCGTGTGCTGTAGGATGTGCTTTTAAAATGACTTGGCCAGGAAAAATCCTAACTTTAATATAATTTTAACTTGAACGTAATTCAATTATTCCAATGATTTAAATATATCCTCTTACTGACCCAGTACAATGACAATGCAGCAAATTCTGGAGGTCACATTAAGGATTTGTCCCACCAAAGGTAGCTCCAAGATTTCAGTCTAGACACCATGAAAAATTGCTTGAAATAATACATTGGATCATCTATGGCAGTGGTTCTCAACCTTTTTAATGCCGCGACCCCCAACCGGTCATAAGTCGAGGACTACTCAACCAGTCGTAAGTCGAGGACTACTCAACTGGTGCAGCACCGTTTGCAGAATGGGACTTTTGGCGGGCTCAGCAGGGCAGAGACAGCCTGGACAATTCCTATTGGCTTTTGAAAGCCAATAGAATTAGACTCTATTCAAGAGAGTCTATTCTATTGGCTTTCAAAAACCAATAGAATAAAAGGGAGTAGCACAGCTAAGGAAAAGGGGAAAAAAATGGCGGACTGCATTGTTTGGTGACCCCCGTGAAATGGTCGTTCGACCCCAAATGGGGTCCCGACCCACAGGTTGAGAACCACTGATCTATGGAAACTTGAAATGGAATTAAAACAAAGGGGAATCTTTGGAAAGTGATAAAGAATGTGGGACTGGACATCATACATCTGTAAATATATATTACGCCTTATTGTTAACAGCTTTGCCAGTACCTGTGTGATTGCTTAACTGCTTTAAAAATTACATTTTTGTTTCCAGCACCAACAATTTGCTTCCACTATTTTATGTGTTAGTTTAACTTCTTGCTTTTTGTTTGTTTGTTTGTTTGTTTGGCGGGAGGAGACGAGGAAGGGAATTGAAACTGATGATAATAATGTCATATTAAAGCTATTTCTACATCTGTAACAGGAATATCATAAGTTTCCTCCTGACACAAGCCATTGTTGATTTCACTGTTATAGGGGAAAGGCTCTAGGGCGGCAGATAAGGCTGTTGCCATGGTGATGAAGGAGATACCGAGGGAGGAGTCTCCGGAGGAAAAACCCCTCCTTACTATGAAATCACAGGTGGGCAGAATGGTCCGGATTTGAAGGAGAAAGCTGGTGTATGTCAATGCAAAAGGCGATCAACTGCTAGTAGAGCTAACATATTTTGATTGCAAACACTCAGCCACTAGGTGGCAGTAGAGAAATGCCACTTCAGTATCCATTTGCTGCCATCTAGTGGTCACTAGATCTCTTCAGCTGAGATATGGTAGCCCAATCATTTTCTAAAAGTCTTCCATTCTTCTTGACCTCTGTGTTGTTAGATTTTTCTCTCTTCTCTCTCATTCTCTGCTTTCTCTTACTCTTGCTGTACCTTTTTCTTTCTTTTTTTCTCTCCCCCCCCCCTTTTCCTCTCTTTTGTTCTAACTTTATCAACACACTGGGAGAGCGCTATTTAAATCAACGTATTCTTCCTCCAAATTACACTGAAGGCATATTGGCAAAAAAAAAGAAGAAGAAGAAGAAGAATGTTAAATTTTGAAAATACACCTTGCTAATGTGTTTAACAGAATATTTTCACCTGTATCCTTTAAAAAAAATTAAACTATATCCAGCATTTATTTATAACTGTATTTATATATCTTCTTTGGCATTGTTCTCAGGGTCCAGCTTACAGTATTATAATATTATATGCAATATATTGTTATAGAATTTTTCAAACAAGTATGAAAGGCATGAAATATAATATAAAGCAGAGAAAAACATTACCTCTTTCACCATTTCACCTATTAATGTTGGATTTTTTTGAAGGCAGGTGTTCTAAGTAAAATGGCATACGTAACAAGATTGTGCATGCTAGTCATTAGCAAAGCATCTAAACTGTTCAAAATTCCCTGCTGTGATCCATGCTGTCCATAGTTACATAATGCACTGTAATAAATGAACATTAATGGCAAAAAGATAAAAGATAAAACATACTCGGTTTTTTGAGCTTTGTGCCGTACTTCACAATATTTAATGCTTTTGACATAGTCATGTTTACTGATTTCTACCATCCCTATCCCTAGCCCACCTCCTCCACACATGTCCACCATGTTGAATGTGGAGGCCATTTTTCTCTAGAATGTTCTATTTGCTGTAGCTCATGTGAGATCTTATCCAAGTTGTACCCAATTGTCTTCAATTTTGCAATTTGCAGTTCTCAACTTTAGAAAAGCTAGGTTGGGGTCTCCAACCTCGGCAACTTTAAGACTTGTGGACTTCAAGCTTTGCTGGCTGAGGAATTCTGGGCGTTGAAGTCCACAAGTCTTAACATTGCCGAGGTTGAGGACCCCTGAGCTAGATTATACATTAACAGATTCAATGAAACATGGGACAACTGAAAAAGAGTTTCTTCAAAAGCCAATAAGCAAAGAAGCAATCTAATGATCAATCTAGTTTGTTGAAACGGTCTGCTTTAGTAATCAATATATGAGTCTTCAATCTTAGAAGCTAAGGTCAACAGGAATTAATATCCTTAACTTTCCAATTCCTTGTACATTAAAAAGTATTTGTTCTCTTTTAACTCTCTGCACATAGGATATAATTATATTTATGTTATGTTATGTTATGTTATGTTATAATGTTTTATTATAAGATACAAAAAATACAGGAAAAAACAGAAGTTAGAAAACTAAGAGAAGGAGAGAAAAATGCAGAGAGAAAAAAGTGATTTCTGACTTTTTTAGTGCAGTGAAATACTTCAACCTTTTGCTTTACATTTCAAACCATTTCTATAACAACAAAATCATTCTAATCATGAACATTTAAAATCGTTTCCATTTTTTGAATCTATACCGTAATTAGCATTAAGTATGATTTATTAAAACAAGTTGACTTCTCACTGTTCATTATGAAATAGACTTGTTTTAGTAAACTGTAGTTAAGAGTAAACATATCGGTTTAATTCTAAACCTCTGAATATGATAAACCAGAATATTAAATAGTAATTCAGTAAAATATGGATAGCTAACAAGACTCGGGCGGAATAAATGGAGATAATTTGATTCAGATCCCTAGATAAAATGAATAACATTTAGCATTTGGAGGAAATTGATAAATCTAGAGTTATAATCACAAGGATTTTTCAGTAGTTTATTACACACTGGCATTAATTGCATCTTTCTTTTGAATGCATGAAAAATGAACGGGAGGGAAAAATAGGTTCTCATAGAATGCAATAATACTAAACAGGAAGGGCTGTAAAGAACAGTCTGATCAGGGATTTCCTGTTAGATTAGCCCTAATAATCAACTATTTTAATTAAGGATCTGAATTGCATTATGTATGAAGCCGTAAGTGCCTTTGCCAGAACTTAAATATTAACTCTGAAATCCTGTGATTTTTTTTTTAGACTTTCTGCATTAAAATATGGGCTGTGCCTCTAAAATTTGGTTCCTCCCCTTGTTACTGCATCAGTACTCATTATTATTACTATTATCTTGTTTGTATAAAATAAATGGAAACTTATACTGAAAACAAAACCCAACTCAAAGGCTTTATTTTTTCTAACTTCATTTTATTTACTAAACATTTAAAAAAAATACAAACCAAGATGGATAAGAGACATATCAAAAGAATAAAAAAGTAAACTATAATTTAAAAAGTACAGGTAAGTACATATAGGATCTGAACTGTCAAAAAGATTAATGTTTCTTTAGGTATCTCAAACATAACAGATGTCAAGCAGGGAAGATCTGGTCCACTCAGGAAGATCCAATTAAACTGATTTATTGCTAATCATGCCTATGCACAGGAATATTCTCAACCAATGGTTAGCCCCTGCTAGGAGAACTCTTGTCATCATAATTCAAGGGAAGTTAGATTTAGTTCTCTTGTGTCTGCATAGAGATTCTAAGCTGATCCCTCTTTTGACTCTGCCCCCAGGCTCTCCCATTTCTTCCTGTATACAAATGTGTCATATGTTTGTAAAAAAAAAGTTAAGACTAATTGAAACTAACAACTTTAAACGAAGAGTACCTGATTAACACAGTATATACATAGTAGTTAGAATTATAGGCAATGTAATTCTAATTATAGATGATCTAATTATAACTATAGAATCACATCTTCAAATTGCTCATAAAGTTAACATATAAACTAAATGTATAATAAGCCATATTTGGGATGTGGTACAAATCCATACACTAAGTCATAATCTAAGAAGAGTTTCCAGTTAGAAATGAATTCTATTTCAGATTTACTTTTAAGTATAACATTTTGGAAATTAAAACATAGCTCCATAATTTGATTGTCCATCTTTCCAAGGAACAAATCAAACATGCTTTCCAGTAAGAAACATGTGATAATCCTTAGCACAGCTAACATAACTAATTCAGCATGCTTTGAAGGAATACATAGCTTATTAAAATTGAATAAAAATAACCTTGGTTGCAAAGGAAATTCAGATTCAAAAGCTGTTTCATGTGAATCAGGAGCTATTGAAGTGACCCACAAGTGAGGATTTTTTTTTTCAACAGAAATAAAATGAATTCTACACTGTTCACCAGATTGAAGCATTTGTTTAAAATAATGGTAACGATAGCAGTTATAAACAATACGGGCCCTGCTGTTATCAACAATTTGCAAACATATGTATTAAAATATCAGCCCGCCTTTTTTGTTTATTATTTCTACATATTCCAATACCCTGAATGTTAAATCACTTGAATGATTCAAACTAATTCAAAGGCAGCTCAAACTTTGCAATTATTTAATTTAATTTACTTATTTGTACAAAATCCCAAGGTAGTTTAATTCAAGTTATTAGTAATTGCCAATATGCTTCTGTGCCTTAAAATAAATCATTCTCAGTTGCCTTTTACAGATTCGCAATATTGAATTACCCACACATGTATGTCAAGATAAAAGATAACTTTTGAATGACCGTTGTCCCAATAGGTATTAGAGCAGTGGTTCTCAACCTGTGGGTCGGGACCCTATTTGGGGTAGAACAACCATTTCACGGGGGTCGCCAAATAATGCAGTCCACCATTTTTTTCCCCTTTTCCTTAGCTGTGCTACTCCCTTTTATTCTATTGGCTTTTGAAAGCCAATAGGAATTGTCCAAGCTGTCTCTGCCCTGCTGAGCCCGCCAAAAGTCCCATTCTGCAAACAGTGCTGCACCAGTTGAGTAGTCCTTGACTTACGACCAGTTGAGTAGTCCTCGACTTACAACCAGTTGGGGGTTGCGGCATTAAAAAGGTTGAGAACCACTGTATTAGAGTGAAAGTGTATTGGTTGCCCCATATGTAAGAAGGTTGTGATTCTGTCTGCATTTTATGTGAACGTGAGTTAACACCTTGCCAATTTCCAATAGCAGCTCCTTAAAAAACATGCAAAGCAAAATAAATATCTGAGTCATCTTTGTATATGAAGTTATGCACAGGTAATAATCGTTGTAGGGAAATCTACCTGTCTGATGCCGTTGTTTATTGAATTCTGATACAGTGATGGACTAGGAAGCTTTGCTTTGATACATCCTGTTTTGGTTTTACATGCAAACCAGTTTATGAATCAGGCAGATTGAACGAGAGAGTGGAACTCCTGATTCATATTATAATGTGTTTCATGCCCATTTGTTTTTATTTCCAATATTGTAATCATAAGAGTTTTCCAGAGTGAACTGTTATTGGTTTGTGCATGTTGAACTGACCTCACCTTTGCCATTGCTGAGTGGAGAAGTATTTCTGATAATTGCCTCCGGATCTGCTTTGCTGTATTTGATTGTGTGGCCTTTTGTCACTTGCAAACTTCTATAAATACTTTGCTGCCTTTTGATGCGGATCCACATGCACTTTTCATAGTGAGCATTTGTCTGACATCATGTAAGATTGCAAGAAAATCAGAAAGCTTTAGATCCAGTTTTATGTCTTTCTTCTGTAGCAGGGAAGTCATTTAACAATTCTCTCTGTGCTAGACTCCCACGTTGAGTTCTTAATGCATGCAGGCATAGATCAGAGGGATTGCCTTGATCATGTGACTGTTTCCTGCACAACTGTATCTCCTCTGCAGCTAATATAAGTGGGATCAATTATGATTAT